GTGTGTGTCTCTTGTTCTTAGTGGGTCTTTTGTTGACAGCATATAGTTGGGTCATGTTTTTGTATTCATTCAGCCACCCTATGCCTTTTGATTGAAGCATTTAATCCATTTACATTTAGGGTTATTGATAGATACTTATTTATTGCTATTTTGATTCTGTATGCCTTGGTTTCTCTCTCTGTTTCTTCTTCTCAGCAATCCCTTTCACATTCTTGTAATGCTGGCTTGGTGGTGATGTACTCCTTTAGCCTTTTTTTTGTCTGGGAAGTTCTTTATTGGACCATTTTATTTTGAATGATATCCTTGCTAGATATAGTAATCTTGGTTTCAGATGCTTGCTTTCCATTACCTTGAGTACTTCATGCCATTTCCTTATGGCCTCTAGAGTTTCTGATGAGAAATCAGGTGTCAGCCTTGTTGGAGCTCCTTTGTAGATAACAGTTTGCTTTTCTCTTGCTGCCCTTAAGATTCTCTCTTTGTCTTTAATTTTTGGCATTTTAATTAGAATGTGTCTGGGTGTGGGCCTGCTTGGGTTCTTCTTGCTTGGGGTTCTCTGTGCCTCCTAAACTTGTGTGACTTTTTCCTTTATCAGGTTAGGGAAGTTCTCTGCCATTATTTCTTCAAACACATTCTCTATCCTTTTCTTTCTTTCTGCCTCTTCTGAGACATCTACTATTCTAATATTATTATGTTTCACATTGTCCCACAGCTCCCTTAAGCTGTCTTTCTGTTTTTTAATTGTTTTTTCTTATTGGTTCTCTGATTGAGTGGTTTTTTTCAACCCTGTTTTCTAATTCACTGATTCTATCCTTAGCTTCCCCTAATCTGCTGTGTATTCCTTCCAATGTGTTCTTTATTTGTGTTATGTCATTCTTTATTTCCTACTGTTTTTGGGGGTTATTTTGCATAGTTACTATATCTTTTTTCATGCTGTTGAGCATCTTTACCATCATTACTCTGAACTCTGTTTCAGATAAATTCCTTATCTCTGCTTCAGTTATCTCTTCTTCTGGAAAATTCTCTTGTTCTTTCATTTGAGGCTTATTTTTTTGTCTCCTCATTTTGGCTGTCTGTTTGGATTTGTGACTATGTATTAGGTCAAACTCAAAGGCTAATGCGGGCCAAATAAACACAGTTTAAGTTTATGTGGGCTACAAGAAACAAGTTTCAGTTTTCATAGAAATGTAGGTTTATTTCTATAGAGACATGCTGAATACAAAGGACAGAAATAAATAAGTACTGTTAACATAAAATAATAGAACATTTTAATAAAAATTAATGTTTTTAGCAGACACTGAATAACTGCACAAATTAATAAGCATAACACAAATAAACCTATTTTTCTAGTTCTCTGAAAGTGAAATATTTCCTGTTGCGCACACCAAACAAAACAGTCCAAGACTAATGACATGGCAATCAGCTGCTAAAATATTGACTGCTAGCATTAGTGGAGAGAAATGGTGTGCCTGCACATAAGGTGTGTAAGGGAAATGAATGTAACACGATTATAGTAATCAGTCATTAGCAAACATTGTAGTTCGTTATTCATAACTAGAGGCCCGGTGCATGAATCGTGCACAGGTTGGGGCCCTCGGCCTGGCCGGCAATTGAGGCCTATCAGGGGGCCAGCCAGCTGGGGGGAGGGATCCCAGGGGTTGATCAGCCGGTTGAGGGGGGAGCTGCCTGGGGTGCGGGGTGCATAGGAGGTTGGCCGACCGGGGGGAGGGGCCACAGAAGGTTAGACAGTCAGCTGGAGGGAGATGCTGCAGGAGGTTGGCCAGCCAGGGGGAGGAGCCGCAGAAGGGTGGCTGTGGGAGCATACTGACCACCCAGGGGCAGCTCCTGCATTGAGCGTCTGCCCCATGGTGGTCAGTGCACATCATAGCGACTGTTCACTCAATCATTCTGGTCACTTGGTTGTAACGGTCGCTTAGGCTTTTATATATAGATTATGTATAAAGACTATTGTAAAAGTTAAGTTACAGAATTTTTATTATAATGTTTCTTACATACCATTGTATTGGCTGGGCCACAAAAATATTCATTGTGGGCCAGGAGTTTGCCATGCTTGTATTAAGTAGATCATCTACACTTCTCAATCTTTAGTGAAGGATAGTGTCAAACAGTTTTTGACTAATTAGATCAGGCAATGACTCAAAGCCTCCAGAGACCACCTCTGCCTATAGACTGATAGGATTCAACTTGAATGGTCCCAGGCAATCACCCTCAGGTGTGTTGAGAGTTTTTTCCCAACACGGTGGGGCAGTTGCTTCTGCCTGGAGGCTAATTGTTATTTTTAGTCTCTTAAGTGGCCTCAGGGCAAGGTATTTTCCAATAGGGTGGGTCAACTGCCTTCCCCTCAGGCAGGCAAATGTTTTTGTAGGAAAGATGTCCTCTGCTGTGTGAGGGAATGACTCAGCACAGGAAAGCGAGGGTATCTGCCTTCTCAGCTCTACCTCCTGACTTCCCAATCCTGGCTTCTGCTCACACAGCTCCAGTCCACTCTGCCCTCCCTCTGCCAGAGCCCAAGGTGGGTGGCTCCACGGGAATTTTGTGTGTTGGCCCTTTAACCCTTTCCGGTCCAACGTCGAGGCTGACTCGACAGACCAGGCGCTAGTAGCAGGTCCAACGTCGAGGCTGACTTGACAGACCAGGCGCTAGGAGCAGGCCCAACGTCAAGGCTGAGGTCGACTCCGCAAACCGGTTCAACATTCAATCCCGTCAATTAATTTGGACCAGACTGTTTGAATTCCAAAAATAAAATTGGATCGCAAAGGGTTAAGAGAGTGCCTGAATTTTCAGCTGTCACTCCCTGGCAGACAGCAACCCCATTGCTTTAAACAGCCAGATGTTATGAGGGTACCCTTCTCAGTTGTGGTGCTCTCTGCTTGGGCGGGGGGGGGGGGGGGTGCACTTTGCGGATTAGATCCCACAGTGTCCTTTACATTGTAGGATATTTAGTGGCATCCCTAGTCTACCCACTAGATCAGTGATGGTGAACCTATGACACGCATGTCAGAGGTGTCACATGAACTAATTTTTTTGGTTGATTTTTCTTTGTTAAATGGCATTTAAATATGTAAAATAAATATCAAAAATATGTCTTTGTTTTACTATGGTTGCAAATATCAAAAAATTTCTATATGTGACACGGCACCAGAGTTAAGTTAGGGTTTTTCAAAATGCTGACACGCCAAGCTCAAAAGGTTCGCCATCACTGCTCTAGTGTCTAGGAGATCGTCTGCCTCCAGAACTACAATTCCCAGCATTCCTTGTGCTCCACGCGCTCTGGGCTTCCGCTTCAGGTCCTGGGGCTGCCCCCAGAACTACTATTCCCAGAATTCCTGGTGCTCCCCGTGCCCTTTGTTTTCCCTTCCTGCTCTGTCTCCATCCCATGGCCTCCCACTCTGCCAGGTCCTCCAAGCCACCAGCTCTCTCTCTCTGCTCTCCGTCTGGCGGCTTGGGGAGCCAAGTTCCCCAAGCTGCTCCAATCTCTGCCAGCTCTCCCACTCTGCTCTCTGCCCAGCAGCTTGGGGGAGCAACTGAGAGAGCCATGTCCCCCCAAGCTGGCAGCTCTCCTGCGCTGCTCGCCACCCAGCGCCTGTGTATGCAAATTAACCCACCATCTTTGTCGGGTTAATTTGCATACTCACTCCTGATTGGCTGGTGGGCATAGTTGAGGGACAGTCAATTTACATGTTTCTCTTTTATTATATGGGATGTTCATTAAATTGAATGAGCTAAATCTGCAGATAATTTTCATAATTGAGGAAATTGAGTTGACAAGTGATACATTATTTAAAGTGAATTTTGATAATCAAAGAGTATGTGATTTTTTAATACATAACTTACAAGGTGCTTAAAGATTCAAAGGAAGACTTTATATAATTCCTACAACTTTTTTAGGTGAAAAGGATAAAAGCAATACTAAAAATAGAAAATTAATCTAGAATGGGTTTTTCTAGTGGTAAGTCATATTTATCCACAGAAGCATGAAATAATTATGAGGGGAAAAGAGTAGCCTTGCTCATCTCATTAAGGTATGCTTTCCAAGTAAATTAGTAGTAAAATTAAAATTTAACATTTGTAACTTATGTTTTACTAATAATCATTATAATGACAACTTAATCCAAAAGAAAAGGATATTCCTTTTAGAGTCTTATGAATTCATAAAGTAAAGCATTTAATTGTAGTGAAGTATGGTAGGGTGATCAATTAAAGACACTAGCATAAAAAATAGACTAGGATAAAACTTTGAGGGAAATAAAATAGAAACAGCCCTGACTGGTTTGGCTCAGTGGATAGAGCATCGGCCTGCAGACTGAAGGGTCCCAGGTTCGATTCTGGTCAAGGGCATGTACCTTGGTTGCGGGCACATCCCCAGCAGTGGGTGTGCGGGAGGCAGCCTATCGATGTTTCTAACTCTCCATCCCTCTCCCTTCCTCTCTGTAAAAAATCAATGAAATATACTTTAAAAAATAAATAAATAAAAATAAAATAGAAACAGTTCAAGGAGAGAAATGAAGGATGTAAATAAGCATTTGGTGCTATTTTAAGATGTTTAAATTTTAAATATGCTGGAATGTTTACCCTTTGCAAATATTTAAGCCTAGAGTAAAATATTTTAGATAACAACCTTAAAGAATGTGGAAAAGGACTTGTATGTATATGTGTATTTTCTGGGGAGTGGGGTCTGTAGTTTTCATCAGATTCTTAAACATGGAGCATGTGAGAAAAAAAACAAAACAACAACAATTAAGTATAGTTATAGGCCAGGTCACTGCATTCTTTGGGCACTATGTTAATTCTAGCCTCAACTTGTTCATTGTATTTTTCCTGAGCCCACATGTAGATGTATGGAAGATACAAAAGTATATCTGCTTTTAAAAATCTTAGTAGAATTATAAATTTTTAGGGCAGAGCTCTTAGATCAAAACTATCTTTCCTATTTGTCTGCATAGAACAAGTATATTCATGTTTACAAATACTTTCTATTTCAGTTTGAAGGGAGGAAGTACTGTGAACATGATTTTCAGATGCTCTTTGCACCCTGCTGCCATCAGTGTGGTAAGTCTCACTGCTGAATGTAAAATAAAAAGTAAGTTTCAAAGTTACTTAACACATTAAGCGCCCAGCCTGTTTTGTCTTCCGGACAGAAAGTATAGTGTCAGTCACCTGTGATTAACTGGGCGCTTAATATGTTAAGTTGTTTAAGTGTCAATGATAAAAGTGGGTTTTGGTGCTCATTAGGAATGACATTTAGGTACTTTTCTGTCCTCTTGCCTATTAGTCCTATATAATAAAACCCTAATACGCAGATCGACCAAACGGCAGAACGACCGGTCGCCATGATGCACACTGACCACCAGGGGGCAAGCACTCAATGCAGGAGCTGACCCCTGTTGGTCAGTACGCTCCCACAGGGGGAGCACTGCTCAGCCAGAAGCCAGACTCACGGCTGGCAAGCAGAACAGTGGTGGTGGGAGCCTCTCCTGCCTCCACTGCAGGCGGGCGGTAGGAGCAAGGGGTCCTGGACTGCGAAAGACCCAGACTGCAAGAGGGCGCAGGCTGGGCTGAGGAACTCTCTCCCCCATCCTGCCCCCCCCCTCCAACCCCTCTCCCCCGCCCACCTGCCAAAATTCGTGCACCGGGCCTCTAATAATATATAACAAACTGAAAGAGTATAAAAACCCAGAGAGAATTGATTTTTAAGGACATCTAGTATAAAGTTATTTCAGGACTAACTGAGACTTTGGTTAAATTAACATTTATGGAATGTTCATTTACCCTACTTGCTTTTGGGTTTGCCAGGAGGGAGACAGAGAAGATTGTCAGTGAGGTGCATAGTTGCTTAGAGATTGCCTGTGGTTACAGGTGCTGGGCTGGCTTGCACGTTAGCCACTTCGCTGGTTGCTAACAGCTCTACTAGAAGGCCTCCAGAGATTGGAGAAACTGAGTAGAACGTTATAAAGAACATGAGAGAAGAAATTAAGCCTAAAAAAATTAAGCCTTAAAAGAAAATGTGCTGTGGATTTTAGTTTTCTGTATCATTAATGGCCAGAAATTACCAAAAGGCTTTCTAGAGAGCTCGGTAATTGTTTGGGATAGGAAAGGCAGATTCAGAGATTTAATAAGACAGCCCGAAAATACAGAACTACAGAAAAAAACAAGCACTCAGATGATATAGAAAACGTTTTCTAATATAATGCTTGTTATGTTATACACATACATAAAAAGTTCCTTTCTGTGGAGAAAGGTTTAAATGTGTGTGTTTTTCCTTCGTGTTTTTTCCCTTCACTGCTTTTAGCAATAAAATGCCACAATGGATATACTTTGTGTGTCACTTTTACTCAGGTGAATTCATCATTGGCCGAGTTATCAAAGCCATGAATAATAGCTGGCATCCTGAGTGCTTCTGCTGTGACCTCTGCCAGGAAGTCCTGGCAGATATCGGGTTTGTCAAGAATGCTGGAAGGTAGGAGTATTTTATCCTTGTCAGGTGTAGGTGGATAAAGTGACTACTACAAGTCATGCGTATTTTCTCATGGGATGTGAGGCGGTGCTTTGGGACACCCAGTTTAAGACATAAGGATTCAAACTGGTCCTGTTAGGAGAGGGCCCTGGAGTTTCTGGGTAGCAGCAGTGTTTGACTGCCATTTGTGTTCCTGGGCCTCACAAAAGGTGGGACAAGCATTTTAAATTTTCTAAAATATCAGTCAGATCATTTGCATTTTTCATATGAAAAGTAGAAGTCTGCGCTATTAAGTCAACAGTGATTTCTAAAGAAATGGTTTCTTTAATTTCTTTTGAGAGATATAGTAAGCATATTTCTTTTTCTCTATTTTTTCTTTCTTTTTTTTCTCAGCACATTTCTTTTTAATTATTAGGAAGAACCCTAGATTTTAAATTTAAGTTTCTAAAAAAATTTTGGCTCTGTTTAGGCATCTGTGTCGCCCCTGTCATAATCGTGAGAAAGCCAGGGGCCTTGGAAAATACATTTGCCAGAAATGCCACGCCATCATTGACGAGCAGCCTCTGATATTCAAGAACGACCCTTACCATCCAGACCACTTCAACTGTGCCAACTGCGGGTATTGCAATTTCTTTGTTACTGCACAATAGTGGAGATGAAGGGTAACATTTATCTGTATTTCTGTTACTCCGGCAAACCAAATTTGTTTTTCTCCAAGTTTTAATCTGGGAAATTTTTAATCTATAGAAAAGTCATGAGAATAATATGAAGAATACCTACATGCCTTAATTTAGTTTTATCAGTTAACATTTTGCCACAGTTGATTGCGTGTGCAGCATACTTGAATGTCCGTGTGCCTGCATGTACAGACTTTGAAGTAATCAGACCATATTAAAATATCCTCAATCATCCAAAAACTGTTTTCCAATAAAGGATTAAAAATTTAAAAAGCTTTAGAAAGTCTTACCTTTGTACATATATAACTTTTGCATTTGTAATAATTAGGGTGTTATCTCAAAATGTCTTAAATTCTATCTAAAGGTTTGTGGGGTTTTTTCCTTCAAAAACTCGTGATATATTGTTAGGCTGTGATTCTCTGAATTTGTTGTCTAGTATAAAAATTTAAAGGAAAAAGATACTTTACTATAATGAATATGAATGTACATGCTAAATTGTAGTAGGGAAGACAAGGTAGGCTCAAGGTCAAGCAAACTGTTTTGCAATGTAAGAACAGCCACCTCATCTTTTTTGTGATTATCAGTTTGTGGCTTTTCTGCTTTTCTTGCCTATCCTTGCTCTGGTGGAATATTTTTTCACTTTTTGTTAGCACTTTTAAATAATTATTTAAACAGATGAAATTCAAACAATTCCATTTGGCTAATTGGGGCTATCTCTGGCATGTTTATTGACACAGGAGATGGAAAATAATAGCATACTTAAGCATTTGGAAACAGAAAATTCTGGTCATTTCATTTGTTTATTTTCTGTTAAACTGTAACTATTCCTAAAAGCTTGTCACAGTTTAAATAATAATTATGAATGGAACTAATCTCCAAACTCCTTGGTTATTTTGGAAAGATAATGTCACTGAGTCTATCCTCAGTATTGTTATTATTCGCTAGCTTTTTAAGGAAGACAAATGGACTGTAATGTGATAATAGACAAAGAAATGTTAGCTAATACTAGTGTGATGGTATGTATCTGACTTGTACGTTTTACCATTAGTGTATGATACTGATGTTTTGATAGGAATCTGGAACCTATTCAAACTTATTAATTCAGGTTACACTGATTGTCAGGAGGGAAAAGAAGTTACAGGAATTGTTGTAGTGATAAATTCAAACATCTCTTAAAAAGTATTAGCCACATTGCTTCCATTTGTTTCTCTCTTGATGGTATCATTCAATTGGCTACCTTTCCCATGGACAGGAAGGAGCTGACTGCTGATGCCCGGGAGCTGAAAGGAGAACTGTATTGCTTGCCATGCCATGATAAAATGGGGGTCCCCATCTGTGGTGCTTGTCGGCGGCCCATTGAAGGGCGTGTGGTAAATGCCATGGGCAAACAGTGGCATGTGGAGGTAAGTTCTACATGTGTGATGTAGGGGCAACTGGTACTTTTTAATTTCCTTGGTTCAGATGTGTTAGCAAGATTAGGAGATTTTAAAAATTTAAATGTGAACATTTTAAAGACAACTGCCTTTGTAGAAAATTAGGAATATAGAATATACACTGCTTTTGTGAGCTCTTGGTAATAATACAGGATCTGCTCTTCTATTCTTAAATCTTCTAGCCCTGGCTTGTGTGGCTTGAGGTGTTGGGTGCCGTCCAGTACACTGGAAGATTGCAGATTTGATTCCTGGTCAGGGCACATTACTTTATGTTCATTATATCCCACATATGAGTGAGATCATGTGATATTTATCTTTCTCTGACTGGCTTATTTTGGTTAGCATAATGCTCTCCAGTTCTATCCATGCTGTTGCAAATGGTAAAAGTTTCTTCTTTTTTATAGCGGCATAGTATTCCATTGTGTAGATGTGCTACAGTTTTCTACTCCACTCATCTGCTGATGGGCACTTAGGCTGTTACCAAATCTTAGCTATTATAAATTGTGCTGCTATGAATGTAGGGGTGCATATATCCTTTCTGATTGGTATTTCTGATTTCTTGGGATATAGTCCTAGAAGTGGATCAAATGGGAGTTCCATTTTTAACTTTTTGTGGAAACTCCATACTGTTTTCCACAGTGGCTGCACCAGTCTGCATTCCCACCAGTAGTGCACAAGGGTTCCTTTTTCTCCACATCCTCTCCAGCACTTGTTTGTGGATTTGTTGCTGATAGCCATTCTGACAGGTGTGAGATGGTACCTCATTGTTGTTTTGATTTGCATCTCTCAGATGATTAGTGACTTTGAGCATGTTTTCATATGTCTCTTCGCCTTCTATATGTCCTCTTTCGAAAAGTGTCTATTTAGGTCCTTTGCCCATTTTTTGAGTAGATTGTTTATCTTCCTTTTGTTAAGTTGTATGAGTTCCCTGTAAATTTTGGAGGTTAAACTCTTACATGAGATAGCATTGGCAAATATGTTTTTCCATGCAGTGGGCTTTCTTGTTGTTTTGTTGATGGTTTCTTTTTGCAGAAGCTTTTTATTTTGATGTCCCATTTGTTTCTTTTCTCCTTAGTTTCCATTGCTCTAGGAGCTGTATCAGTAAAGATATTGCTATGACATATGTCTGCTTTTTTGCTGCCTATGGAGTCTTCTAAGATTGTATGGTTCCCGTCTTACACTTAAGTCCTTTAACCATTTTGAGTTTATTTTTGTGTATGGTGTAAGTTGATGATCTGGTTTCATTTTTTTTGCATGTATTTCACCAATTTTCCCAGCACCATTTATTGAAGAGATTTTCTTGACTCAGTTGTATGCTCTTGATATCTGGTATTGTGATCCCTCCAACTTTATTCTTCTTTCTTAGGATTGCTGTGGCTAGTCCAGGGTCTTTTTATATTTCAGATGAATTTTTGGAAGGTTTGTTCTAGGTCTGTGAAATATGTCATTGGTATGTTAATGGGGATTGCATTAAATCTATAGATTGCTTTGGGTAGTATGGACATTTTAATGATGTTGATTCTACCAATCCATGAACATGGTATATTCTTCCATTTGTTTATGTCTTCCTCTACCTTTTTTCAGTGTCTTTTACCTCCTTGGTTAAGTTTATTCCTAGGCATCTTAATTTTTTTGGTGCAATGGTAAATGGGATTGTTTTTTAGTTTCTCTTTCTGTGAGTTCATTATTGGTATATAAAAAAGCCATAGATTTCTGGGAACTAATTTTGTATCCTGCTATGTTGCCAAATTCAATTATTAAGCCTAGTAATTTTTTTATGAGTCTTTAGGGTTTTCTATGTACAATATCATGTCATCTGCGAATAATCACAGTTTTACTTCTTTTCCAATTTGTATGCCTTTTATTTCTTCTTGTTTCTGATCGCTATGGCTAGCACTTCCAGTACTATGTTGAGCAGGAGTGGAGAAAGTGGGCATCCCTGTCTTGTTCCTGTTCTTAGGGGAAATGAGTTTAGTTTTGGCCCATTGAGTATGATGTTGGCTGTAGTTTTATCATATAAGGCTTTTATTATGTTGAGGTATGATCCCTCTATTCCTACTTGCTGAGAGTTTTTATCAAGAAAGGGTGTTGGATTTTGTCAAATGCTTTTTCTGCATTGATTGATATGATTATGTGGTTTTTGTCTCTCAATTTTTTTATGATAATAAATAAATCTTCTTGAGGCAAAAAGTGTCATAGTCCATCTCCAGCAACAGCCCTTGCTTACAGATGACTCTCAGACGTTCGCCTGTTTTCTCATTGTGTGATGTTTGAATAGGCTGGGTCTTAGAGTAACTTGTCAGACACCTGAATTAAAAATGAAAGGGCTACAGGAGAACCCATGAAATGGCTGCCTCAAGCCTGCAGGTATCATCTCTGAGGATAGTGTAACTTTGGAGTTTTATTTCATTTAATAAATAAAATATAGCAATTCAAAAATGACATGTAGCAATTTTTTTTTCAGCATTTTGTTTGTGCCAAGTGTGAAAAACCCTTTCTTGGACATCGCCATTATGAAAGGAAGGGCCTTGCATATTGTGAAACCCACTATAACCAGGTATTGTTTGTATTCATTGGATACTCGATATACTTTTATGAATTTAAGCTTGTCAATATTTTAGTTAAAAGAAATCACTTAGAAAAATTTTTTCCACTCCAATACTGTACCCAGTTTGGGCTGTCATGTTCATTTAGCTTCCTTAAATATGGAACATCTCCAGAGGTTTTTTTGGTTTTGATAGTGATGAAAAGTAAATTATTTTCATCATACGTAAAAATTAGTCCATGAACTGCTACTCATCTTCTCTAGTAATGATAAAATCTGGACTTAGGTAACCAGCTATTTGTTTTTAAGTGAAAGAATGAACCAAATTTTGTTAAATGTTTGGTGTTTTAAACTTAGTTCTAACATATCTTGAATTTTTACCATTTTTTCATTTTTCAGCTATTTGGTGATGTTTGTTTCCACTGCAACCGTGTTATAGAAGGTGATGGTAAGTAACTGTAGAAATTTTATATGGCACCATTTTGACACAAAAACATTTGAGAATTGTGAAAATTGAAAGAAGTTGATTGCTATAATTTGGAATGTGATTATTATCAGTTACTTTTTCTCTTTCTTTGGCATATTTCCCAAGGAATTTATAGCAGTGAGATGATAATGATCTAAGAGTTGGATTTGTTACTCATTTGTTATAATACTTTAGGCTAGTGCCGCAGGGTTGTTACCTTAGGAAGTGTAGAACGCATTTATGGCCAACCCTGAAACCTATGTCTCTTTCCTTTCCCTAGAACCATATAACTTGGAAGCTGTAGAGCAGTGTTTATTAAGAACACTTTAATCTGCATGGTAGTTAGGAAGACTCACTTTAACCTTGCAGATGTTAAAACCTGGCAGTTACCTGTAGACATTTCTAGGACTTAGCACCCTTGTACTGGGTTAATTAGGCACAGCTGATGGACTAGAACTGAAGGCAGCTGTATTTGGTAACAGTTGCTAGCACAGTTCTGCCAGACACTTATTGTCAAGATTTTAAACATTCCTGTTTTCAGCATGCTTCATGGTTCTCAGCAGAGAACCTAACTTGGAATACTTGCTGAAATATGTGGTTTGCAAAGGATTAGTTCAAGAAAGTTTCTTAGTGCCACTGAAAATAAAAGTTCCTCCTACATGGGATGGTTACCAGATGAAAGAAACTGTCAACGGAAGCGCTTAGCTTTGAAGCACTGCTGTAGGTGAATACATTAATGTCTGGGCTTTTTTTCTTTAATTACTTCTCTAGTCCATATTTCTTTGTTGGACCAGTGGCAATAGGGATAGGAAAGTAGTGGAAAGTGTGCTGGTAGGCAAGCATTGTGCGCAAAAAGCTCGTCTGAGTGATGTAATAATGCATGTTATGTACCCTCTGCATTGTCCACAAGAGTGAGAGGACTTAAGCTTTGGTGTGAAGACATGGTACATACCATTTACTGTATAGGCCTCATAGGATACTCAAGGGAAAGAAAAAGATATTTAACTATAAATAAAGGTTGATGTGCAGTTTCCTAAATTCATGCCTTCAGTGAATTGGTCTCCTAATAAGTGAAACTCAGTCAAATATTTTCAAGAGACACAGAGTAGTAATAATTAACTCATAAAGTTTCATACAGAAAGAAAAAGTAGATTTCTGTGTATATTCTTTAAAAATACAAGTTTAAGCCAGCACCGGTTTGGCTCAGTGGATAGAGCGTCGGCCTGCGGACTCAGGGGTCCCGGGTTCGATTCCGGTCAGGGGCATGTACCTTGGTTGCGAGCACATACCCAGTGGGACATGTGCAGGAGGCAGCTGATCGATGTTTCTCTCTCATCGATGTTTCTGACTCTCTATCCCTCTCCCTTCCTCTCTGTAAAAAAAAAAAATAAAAAAAATAAATAAAAAAAATAAAAATACAAGTTTAAAAGGGCAATAATAAATAGCCCTGGCTGGCATGGTTTAGTGGTTAGACCATCGGCCTATACACCGGATGGTCTCGCGGTGGTCGGCAAACTCATTAGTCAACAGAGCCAAATATCAACAGTACAACAATTGAAATTTCTTTTACGAGCCAAATTTTTTTTTTTTAATATATTTTATTGATTTTTTACAGAGAGGAAGGGAGAGAGATAGAGAGTTAGAAACATCGATGAGAGAGAAACATCAATCAGCTGCCTCCTGCACATCTCCCACTGGGGATGTGCCTGCAACCCAGGTACATGCCCTTGACCGGAATCGAACCTGGGACCTTTCAGTCCGCAGGCCGACGCTCTATCCACTGAGCCAAACCGGTTTTGGCAAGAGCCAAATTTTTTAAACTTAAACTATATAGGTAGGTACATTGTTATTAACTTAATTAGGGTACTCCTAAGGCTTAGGAAGAGCCACCCTCAAGGGGCCAAAGAGCCGCATGTGGCTCGCGAGCTACAGTTTGCCGACCACAGCTCTAGGGTTCTATTCCCGGTCTAGGGTGCATACCTGGGTTGCAGGTTTGATCTCCATCCCCATTCAGGGCATGTGTGGGAGGCTACCAGTCAATGTCTCTCTCACATCAGTGTTTCTCTCCTTTGTCTCTCAGCCTTTCCACTCTCTCTTTTAAAAAAAATTAATGGAAAAAAATACCGTCACTTCTCTGGTGAGGATTAAAAAACACACATGCAAAAAAGAGCCTGGCTGGCGTGGCTCAGTCGTTGAGCATCAACCTATGAACCAGGAGGCCACAGTTCAGTTCCTAATCAGGCCACATACCTGGGTTGTGAGCTTGATCCACAGTAGGGGGCGTGCATGAGGCAGCTGATCATTGATTCTCTCTCATCATTGGTGTTTCTCTCTCTTCCTCTCTGGGGGGGAAAAAAAAGTTCTGTTTTGTTTTGTTTTTAAGAAAAGAAAGAAAAAGGAAAGGGCAATAATGATCATTCCTAAGATGAAGCCTTGGAAGACAAATACTCAGTTTGTATGTTTTTAATGTGAAAAAATAAATTAATAAAATTGATTGATTCAATAAACATTAATTAATTACACTAAAGTTTTTAGCTATGTGGTTCTTTTGCAAGCAAACCTCTTGACAGCCTCTGCCAGGTGTCTTGGAAATAACCTTAATTCTGCTGTAGATTTGAAAATTTAAGCTCCCCCACTTCCCGTACCAATATGTCACCAAATGTCTTTCCTCTTTCTCTAGTGGTCTCCGCTCTTAACAAGGCCTGGTGTGTGAACTGTTTTGCCTGTTCTACCTGCAATACTAAATTAACACTCAAGTAAGTATACATTTTGATCCAGCGTGAATCCTTACACTGAAAACTTTAGGGTAACGTTTTTTAAAACAGAATTTTTAAAAACAGAATTATTTGATTCATTTTTTCTTCTTTCTACTCAGGCCTTCTGAAACTAAAAGTTCTTCCTTTAATTGTTCCCTGTTCTTTCTTCTATTCCTTCTTTGTCCTGCTCAAAGGGATAAGTTTGTTGAAATTGATCTAAAACCAGTCTGCAAACACTGTTATGAGAAAATGCCAGAAGAATTTAAGAGGCGACTTGCCAAACGGGAGAGAGAAGCAAAGGATAAGGACAAGCAGAAAAAGAAAAAGCCTGTCTGTCTGTAAACTTTCTATCCCTTCTGTCATTTTCACAGCTTTCTTCTTTGCTTAGTCCTTTAGAATATGTTTTTATCTTTTACATTCTAAATTTCTTTTTGGTGTGTATTGTAAACGCTAGAGTAAAATACAAGTATCTGTCCTGTGTAGAGTTGGTCCTTTTATATAATTCTTAAAATTATAGAGCTTAAATTAATAAGGCTCACACTTAATACCAGCTTGTACTTCCCTTATTTCCCTTAATCTGTAGATTTCCTCATCTCTTTTTTTAAATTACAATATGGGATGGATTTCTGTCTCTTTTTGTTTAATGGATTCAAAGGAAAGAATTTCCATCTCTTGATACTGGAAAAGTTTTAAAGTACTTTTGTCTGATAATTGTAGCTTTTAAAATCCTGATTTGGGGTTTCTTTGCATAAATTAACTTAATTGATAGAGTCCAAGTCTCCTGTTCTAAGTTCTGTAATAAGTTAAGTTCTTTCAGTGTGTTTCAGATCTAAGCAAATGCCACGTAATGTACATAATAAGATATGTACTGTCTTTGGTATATGTACAGGGTGGGACAAAAGGAGGTTTACAATTGTTCGTATGGGAAATAATACGATAGTAAATAATAATAATTAAGAATAAACTCTTTTGCTGCTCACAGCTGTAAAACTCATTTTGCCCCACCTGGTATGTGTGCTTTCATATAATGTCCATATGCTACTGTTAATGAATTCTTTTTCTTGATGTTTCTAAACTCTGTCTGATTCTTATGAGAAATATTTCAATTTGAAATTCTGTTGAATTGTTAGCATAATTATTCCATGCTTCCTTTATGGGTACCATTGTGTTTGAAGTTCTTTATTTTTTCAAGTTTTGATGTTTCTTTGTATAAAGAGGAGTTAAAATTCAAATATGAGATTAAAACAATAGAGTGGCCCTGGCCAGTGTGGCTCGATGGGTTGAGTGTCGTCCCATGCACTGAAAGGTTGCCAGTTCGATTCCTGGTCAGGGCACATGCCCAGGTGGGGGGCATGCAGGAGGCAGCTGATTGATGTTGCACTCTCACACTATGTTTCTCTCCCTTTGTCTATTTCTGAAAATCCATAAACTATTCTTTTTTTTTTTTTTAATATATTTTTATTGATTTCTTACAGAGAGGAAGGGAGAGAGATAGAGAGTCAGAAACATCGATGAGAGAGAAACATCGATCAGCTGCCTCCTACACACCCTACTGGGGATGTGCCCGCAACCAAGGTACATGCCCTTGACCGGAATCGAACCTGGGACCTTTCAGTCTGCAGGCCAACGCTCTATCCACTGAGCCAAACCAGTCAGGGCCATAAACTATTCTTTAAAAAAATAAAAATGGAAGGTTTGCTTAGCAGTATCTCCAAAAGCAGTGATAATTTCCTTCAATTTAAAAAAACAATGGCCTAGCTGGCGTGGCTCAATGGTTGAGCATCTACCTATGAACCAGGAGGTAACGGTTCTTTTCCAGGTCAGGGCACATGCCCCGGTTGCAGGCTCACCCCAGTGGGGGCATGGAGGAGACAGCTGATCAATGCCTCTCTCTCATCATTCATGTTTCTCTCTCTCCCTCGCCCTTACTCTGGAAATCAATGAAAATATATTTTTTTTTAATGACAGTTTTAATAGCTTCTGTTCTAAAAAGACTTTGGGAGAAATTTTTTAGCTCAATAGTTTAAATCAAACTGACAATTAAAATATAACATTTGAATTAGGATCTCTGAAAACCAGCTAGAAAATAATTACCATATGGAGCTTTAAAATAAAAGGTTTTAGCAGATTTATTCATTTGTCATAGATGACAGTATACTTCCAGACTTGTTCCAGAAATGCTTCTTAAATATAATTTCACAGAAAATGAACAAGTTATAAAGTTGTGTATTTACTTGATTCACAATGAAGGACCCTGATTTTAACAGTAATAAGCTATTATAATTACAAGTTAGCACACTATTCAGATAGGAGGCCATCTGAAAACTGTCCTCTCCAGAACTAAATAAATTAACAATGTGTACTGCTCTAGCTTCTTTTTTTAAATATATTTTTATTGATTTCAGAGAGGAAGGGAGAGAGAGATAGAATCATCAAATGATGAAAAGAGAATCATTGATCGATTGCCTCCTGCATGCCCCACACTGGGAATCGAGCCTGCAACCCGGGCATGTGCCCTGAACAGGAATGAAACCATGACCTCCTGGTTCATAGGTCAATGCTCAACCACTGAGCCACGCCAAACAGTTTACTGCTCTTACTTTTAAAGAGAAGACCTGAGTTCTCCAACCAGGGAATCTGATTCACTTGTGCTCATGAAGAGGAATTGAAACCTTACTGTATCTCCCCTGTCAGCCTTTCTGTTAACCAACCAACCAAAATAACCCATTCTGATGTAAGATTTATTTCAGATGATTTTTTGGGGGGTGGGGTGGGAGGCAGACCTTTTTTTACCAGGAAAGACAAAACCTTATTGCTACCTAATTTTAAAAGTGTTCTCATGGTATTTTAAATATGACTGACTTTACTTCCCTAATTCTATTTACACTACATTTCCTGAACACTTAGCACTGACTACACTGTAGTATACATTCTATATTACATAGGTTAATGCATAGGATCAATTTACAGGAAAGTATTTTCAAATATTGTGAATTTTTACATCTACCACATGATAGGAATTGAGATTAGAATTATAGTTGTTTTGCTAACATATCATCATATAGTATCTTTATTTACTTCAATAAAATTATTTCACATTATTTATGTGTTTATGTTAAATATATTTTCACTAATTTTTTTATCATTATCTTTAGGAATAAATTTGTGGAGTTTGATATGAAGCCAGTCTGTAAAAAGTGCTATGAGAAATTTCCATTGGAGCTGAAGAAAAGACTTAAGAAACTAGCTGAGACCTTAGGAAGGAAATAACTTCCTTTGTTTTATTTTTTTTCTCTTTTCTGCAAAGATAAGAAAGTAACAATGTTATTGACCTGATCCATCCTTATTTAAATTTGTCCCTCAAAGCAGTTGAGTGAAGAGGACCTAGATGAACATTTTCTTCATCTCCTTTGTCTCATTAAAAAAGAAAAAAGTTTGTGATCATATTTAAAACACAGATGAAATAAAGATTTGCCTTTGTCAATAACCCTTTTCAATTTACTAAAATGTAGACTATACTTAATAGCAAAAACCATATGGTTAAATGTTAAATTTTAATTTAGGTCCCAAAATGAAAGTAAGGAGTCACCTTTTACATGACTCAGATTAAAAAATATAAACATTATTTTACTTTGTACTAAAAAGAAAGTTAATTTCAACTGCTTTTAGGGAGGATATAGGAAGAAAAATAACCAAGAAAAATCTTATGGAATTTTAGTATGCTTATCAAACTGGTACCTATAAAATGAATATACACATTACTAACACAAAACAAGTGTATTCAGAACTACTTGGACTTTTTGTTGTTGTTAAATGCAATAATTATGCTTAGTTTTTTAAAATTATGCTTAGCTTTATATATTATTCTCCTTGTGAACTTCTCCCTTCATACAATTAACAGTAGTTATAGCTGGCTAAATAGTTCGCCTTTTTAAATTTTGTGCAAAAAATTTTATCCTCTGTATTTGAAAATACAATATACTTTGCAGTATTGGAAAATGGAAGTTTTTTTATGTTGTAATTACAATAGTTATGCTTCTAAGCTTAATATCAAAGATGTAGTCCTAGACTAGGACATGAAATTAAATTTTATGTAGCTTGAAATGTATCACTTAAAAAAAAGTGAATGTATTTGGTCATATTGCCTTTATAACCACGTTTTAGTCATATTGCCTTTATAACCAAGTTAATATCTATGCTTTGTACATAAACTTGCCCTGCCTTAGAAAAACACACACTAATCAGGAATTCTAGCTGTTCCGTATAGTACTAACTAAAAACAAGTGTATTGGTTGAGATTTATAAACTCAGAATCATTTACCACATTATGATTATATGTTTAAAATTCGTTTTCTCCCTTTTTGGGAAACACATTAAAATTAATTTCTGCCATCTTATTAGAAGAGAATCATGTTGATACGTGTTTCAAGTTTTTCATTTCAGATCTCACAATTATTTGATTTTATTTGCTTTAAGTAAGATATATAAATTGCACTTAAATTAGAAGAGGGATGTTTAGGTGTCAATTTTAAGTCAAAAGTAGTGAGTTATTCTATTTCATAAAAGGTTTTATTCTGAAGTTTCTGGACCATTCTTTCTTGATAAACTTGTATGCAAAGCATTTAGTTGTGAACATTATTTACATGTTTCTCTTGTGTTATCATTTAAAAGAAAAGTGCCAAGATGGACTTCTAAGGGGAAAGTTATTGTTTTTTACAAAAATTGCTAAAATACTGCTTTGCCATTAAAAATATCGCCTCACAATGCTACCACTCTGCCATTAAAATATTTGTATTGAAAAGTTTGTGTATGCATGTTACAGGGCAAATTCAATTTCAGGTTTCAGATAACTTATAACCAATAACTTATTTTTAGTATTCTTCTAGAGTTCAAAGAATTACAAATGATTGAAAATAATTAAATATATAGTTTAAGACTGCATGTGTTCAGAAGTTTAAAAGTCTTTGCATTTGACAGTAAGAATCAAAATCTCTTCAGTGTGCCTTGTCAGCTGATTTATGACCAGCAATGAAAACCTTGAAGGTATTTATTAATATATATACTATGGATAGAGGTAAAAGAGTACGTACAGGGTTTGCAGTGTAGAGTCTTGATGCTAAATTCTAAAAATATGCCTACACCAGAAATACAGAGCAGAAAAGCAAACAATTAACTAGATTCTTTTTCTTTTCACCTATATTCTGAATCCCTGTGAAGGCGTGTGCCCTGGGCTGGGCTGCTTTGTTTACACACCTATGTGGCCGCCTGCCCTGCAGCCAGAGGTCCCAGTGCTGTTTTGACTCCTTCTTTTAAAGCATGAATTAATATTTTCTGGAAGTTCAACTTATTAGGGTATTTTATCTAGATACAGTACTTTCTTCCCTTATAGGGCTATCATTGGAGCTCTTAAAGGTGAGAAAGGAAGAAAAAGTTGAAAAGTTGTATTGGAATAGAAGACAAATTTGGTGTAGTTCATAATATTTTTTGTGAAGCTTTTTCTATCTAGCTGTGAAAAAACTCAGGCTAGTAAGCATTTCTTTGTTTAAAGTCCAGCAAGGCAGTTTTAACTTCCAGTTAAAATTCATTGTTGTTACCAAATTTCTAAGTGCTTTTTTTTTTTTCTTTTTCTTTTTTTGCCAAGCCTGATATAATTGGGGGAAAATGCCTGGATACAAATTAAACATTCTTTGGGTCAAGTTCAAAGCCTTATTAACACTGCACCTGAAATCATAGGTCATTTTTCCTCACTTACTTCCAAAATAGCCATTTCTAAGTTCAGGAAATTTCAAGGTAGGCTTACAGAATTCTTATTGTATTTCATTTTAGATTGTACGCTCAATGGCAGGGACACTATATTGCTAATTCTGTTTTTATATAGCAACCTTTGCAATATACTCTTGGTACCTAATAAATGTTCATAATTATTAACAATAACGTGTTGTGCATTGATTTGAATGGTTTTGAGACAGAACTATGAGAAGATAAGGCTAATGTTTAAGAAAGCTCTTTTGGCCCTAACCAGTTTGGCTCAGTGGATAGAGCATCGGCCTGCGGACTCAAGGGTCCCAGGTTCGATTCCAGTCAAGGGCATGTACCTTGGTTGCAGGCACATACCCAGTGGGGAGTGTGCAGGAGGCAGCTGATTGATGTTTCTAACTCTCTATCCCTCTCCCTTCCTCTCTGTAAAAAATCAATAAAATATAAAAAAAAAATTAAAAAGAAAAGCTCTTTTGGAATGGATAAAGAAAGTGTGTGTGTGTGTGTGTGTGTGTGCGCGTGCGCACGCACGCACAGATATACTGGACTATTGCTCAGCCACAAAATAAGGAAATCTTGCTATTTACAACAACATGGATGGGGTTTGAAGATTTTATGCTGCTAAGTGATATAAGTCAGACAAAGAAAATTACTATATGATTTCACTTACATGTGAAATCTAAAAACAAAACAAAACAAGCTTATAGAGAAGAAATGGTGACTGCCAGAGATGGGGGTAGGGTGTGGACAAAATTAATGAAGAGGGTCAAAAGGCACTAACATCCAGTTATAAAATAATTAAATTAGAGGGATGTGATGCACAGCACAGTGACTATACTAATAAAAGAGTAATATGCTAATTAGACCAGACGTCATCCGGACGTCCTCCCTGACAAAGCCAGCAAGGCGAAGCAACGGCACCAGCGCCTGCGGCTGGCTGCAGCCCAGGAGACAGAGAAGCCACCCGCCCCGAGGTCCCAGGCCACAGCCAGCCAGAGAAGCTGCCCACCCTATGGTCCCAGGCGTCAGCGCCTGTGGCTCAGGAGATAAGTTCCCTCTTCTCCCACTGCAGTCATTACTCCAATATTCCCCTTCTGAATTTCTCTCTGCTGCCCCGACCCAACTCCACTTTCATCTAAATGATAGGGAACAGAGAGAGCAATCATAAAAGCGTACATTTTTAAGCAGGTAAGATTGGTTCTTAAACATATAAATGGAAAACTAGAGTCCTTAAGGTAACAAAGACTAGAAAGGGAGGGGACAGGGACAGGGCAAGACATATTGTATCCAGCAATCCAATGATGAAACTGAAAACTGCAATGATGACAATCAGTGGAGATATGAATCAACTAAAATAGTTGACAGGAACAATTCTTCCGTCTTTGAAAATATCTATATCAAGTCTGTTTAAATAGATTTTCATCTGCATAATATAACACATTCTGACAAGACCACCACCACCAATGTGGTCAGTGTTGTGCTGGTAAATGTTTAACAACTGGCTCTAAAGAAAACAAAACCCTGGTTTATAGGATCAGCCAATTTCTGTGGCATAAATTCTCTATCCATGGCTGATGTTGGCTGCTAATGTGATGCCACTAAATGCAAAGCTGAGGAGAAACGTGCAGTAATACACTATTATATTCCACCAGAAAGACCCAAAAGATACAGTGTCAAGAGTCAGAACAGTAAAATGTAGTAAATAATTGAGGAGTGATGAATTTAGAGTACGTATTACCTTTGGTTTTAATGTAATTTATTCACTTCTAAGATTATATGATTTAATTTTTAATAATGACCATGTTTAACAACCAGCTTGCAAAATTCCTGAGAATTTGTGAGCCAGTAAGAGCAGGTTCCAGCACAATACTGAGTGGAGTATAATGGTTAAAGGGCATGGCTCATGGACTTGAAACAAGACTTAGCCACTTAGGTTTTACTGGTCAAGTTACCTGATCTCTCTATCCCTCAGGGTTCTCATCTGTGTAATTATAGTACCTACTGTATACAGTTGTTGCAAAGATAAAATGAAATCTCTGTATGACACAGCACAGTACCTGAAACAATAATTCACTCAATTTGTTATAAACTGTTACTACCTCAATACGTTGTTGACAAAATTACTCTACTCATGCTGAAAGAATGAAATTTTATTGATGAGGAAAATATTTTGCGATCTACATGGAGACAGTCAATTTTGCTTCCTAGGCAGTAGATGGTAATCTACTACTAGAAACTGCAAGGGGGAAAATGACCTCAATCAACATGATTGAGGCAATGTATTATTAGCTGGATCATAAAGCAGAGAGGATGCCATACATTCTGGCATACATCTGCAGTAAGAGGCTTCACCTCAGGTATTAATTCTGATCAACTAAGCATCAGACTTAAGATGAATGGTGAGAAGGATTCTGAGGCTGCTCCTAGACTTAGCAGGAATAGCACTTTAATACATAAGCAACAGTTACTATGGTTAATGGTGAGAAAAAACACACTATGATCTATACTAATAAAAGGGTAATATGCTAATTAGACTGGACGTCTTCCAGATGACCATCTGCACATCCTTCCTAACAGCCGGGCCTTGGCACCAGCACCAGTGGCTGGCTGCAGCCTGGGAGACAGAGAAGCTGCCTGCCCCACAGTCCCAGGTGCCAGCGCCTGCGGCTACAGCCCAGGCAAAGCCACCTGCCCACCGTCCCCTGCGGCTGCAGCTAGCCTAGGCAAAGCCGGCCCGGGTCCCAGGTGCCTGTAGCCGGCGAGAGGAAGAGAAGCCCGGGTCCTTGGTGCCTGCGGCCGGATGGAGGAGGGAATCCTGGGTCCCGGTTGCAGGGTCGAGGCAGAGGTGGTTAGGGGTGATCAAGCCAGCAGGGGAGCAGTTAGGGGTGATCAGGCTGGCAGGCAGAAGCAGTTAGGGGCAATCAGGCAGGCAGGCAGGCAGGCAAGCAGTTAGGAGCCAGGAGTCCCAGATTGTGAGAGGGATGTCCAACTGCTAGTTTAGGCCCTGCGGGATCGAGCCTAAACCGGCAGTCAGACATCCCTCAAGGGGTCTCAGATTGGAGAGGGTGCAGGCTGGACTGAGGGACACAGCCCCTTCCTGCCCCTCCCCCCCCCTTGCACTGGGCCATGCTAATTTCATGCACCAGGCCACTACTAGTTAATAATACTGTATTGTATATTTAAAAGTTGCTAAAAAAATAAATATTAAAAGTTCTCATCATAAGAAAAGTTTTATAACTATGTGGTGATGGAGTTTAACTAGACTTATTGTAGTGACCATTTCACAATATATATAAATATTGAATCATGTACATTTAAAATTAATGTCATATATCAATTTTATCTCAATTTTTAAAAAAGAGTTCCACATTTTTTATTTTTTTATTTTTTTAATTTTATTGCTTAAAGTATTACAAAGGGTATTACATATGTGTCCATTTCCCCCCCCCACCCCCCCCCCTGCCCTAGACAGTCCCCTAGCCTCCCCTATCCCCCAGTGTCTTATGTCCATTGGTTATGCTTATATGCATGCATACAAGTCCTTTGGTTGATCTCTTTCCCCCCTTCCTCCTGCCCCCCGGCCTTCCCGCTGCAGTTTGACAATCTGTTTGAGGCAGCTCTGCCTCTGTATCTATTATTGTTCAAAAGTTTATAATGGTCTCTCTTATCCATGAATGAGTGAGATCATGTGGTATTTTTCCTTCATTGACTGGCTTATTTCACTTAGCATAATGCTCTCCAGTTCCATCCATGCTGTTGCAAATGGTAAGAGTTCCTTACTTTTTAGAGCAGCATAGTATTCCATCGTGTAGATGTACCACAGTTTTCTAATCCATTCATCTACTGATGGGCACTTAGGCTGTTTCCAGATCTTAGCTATGGTGAATTGTGCTGCTATGAACATAGAGGTGCATATATCCTTTCTGATTGGTGTTTCTTGTTTCTTGGGATATATTCCTAGAAGTGGGATCACAGGGTCAAATGGGAGTTCCATTTTCAGTTTTTTAAGGAAACTCCATACTGTCTTCCATAGTGGCTGCACCAGTCTGCATTCCCACCAGCAGTGCACAAGTGTTCCTTTTTCTCCACATCCTCTCCAGCACTTGTTGTTTGTTGATTTGTTGATGATAGACAGTCTGACAGGTGTGAAATGGTACCTCATTGTCATTTTGATTTGCATCTCTCGGATGATTAGTGACTTTGAGCATGTTTTCATGTCTCTTGGCTTTCTGAATGTCCTCTTTTGAAAGGTGTCTATTTAGGTCCTTTGCCCATTTTTTGATTGGATTGTTTATCTTCCTTTTGTTAAGTTGTATGAGTTCCCTATAAATTTTGGAGATTAGGCCCTTATCAGATATGACATTGGCAAATATGTTTTCCCACACAGTGGGTTTTCTCATTGTTTTGTTGATGGTTTCTTTTGCTGTGCAGAAGCTTTTTATTTTGATGTAGTCCCATTTGTTCATTTTCTCTTTAGCTTCAAGTGCCCTAGGAGCTGTATCAGTGAAGAAATTGCTTCGGCATATGTCTGAGATTTTGTTGCCTTTGGGTTCTTCTAGAATTTTTATGGTTTCCTGTCGTACATTTAAGTCCTTTATCCATTTTGAGTTTATTTTTGTGTATGGTGTAAGTTGGTGGTCTAGTTTCATTTTCTTGCATATATCTGTCCAATTTTCCCAACACCATTTATTGAAGAGACTATCTTGGCTCCATTGTATGTTCTTGCCTCCTTTGTCAAATATTAATTGAGCATATTGGTTCGGGCCGATTTCTGGGCTCTCTATTCTATTCCATTGATCTATATGCCTATTCTTGTGCCAGTACCAGGCAGTTTTGAGAACACTGGCTTTGTAATACAGCTTGATATCTGGTATTGAGATCCCACCTACTTTCTTCTTTTTCAGGATTGCTGCAGCTATTCGGGGTCTTTTTTTTATTCCAGATGAATTTTTGGAGAGTTCGTTCTAGATCTATGAAGTATGCCGTTGGTATTTTAATGGGAAGTGCGTTGAATTTATAGATTGCTTTGGGTAGTATGGACATTTTAATGATGTTGATTCTACCAATCCATGAACACGGTATGTTCTTCCATCTGTATATGTCTTCCTCTATATCTTTTTTCAACGTCCTGTAGTTTTCTGAGTAGAGGTCTTTTACCTCTTTAGTTAAGTTTATTC